TTTAATGGCACAGGCAGGGAGCCCAGCCAACAGCGAGTTGCAGTAATCCAGACGGGAGATGACAAGTGCCTGGATTAGGACCTGTGCCGCTTCCTGTGTAAGGCAGGGTCGTACTCTCCGAATGTTGTAGAGCATGAACCTACAGGATCGGGTCACCGCCTTGATGTTAGCGGAGAACGACAGGGTGTTGTCCAGGGTCACGCCAAGGCTCTTCGTACTCTGGGAGGAGGACACAACGGAGTTGTCAACCGTGATGGCGAGATCATGGAACGGGCAGTCCTTCCCCGGGAGGAAGAGCAGCTCCGTCTTGCCAAGGTTCAGCTTGAGGTGGTGATCCGTCATCCATACTGATATGTCTGCCAGACATGCAGAGATGCGATTCGCCACCTGGTTATCAGAAGGGGGAAAGGAGAAGATTAGTTGTGTGTCGTCTGCGTAGCAATGATATGACAGAGCCAAGTGACTTGGTGTATAGCGAGAATAGGAGAGGGCCTAGAACTGAGCCCTGGGGGACACCAGTGGTGAGAGCACGTGGTGCGGAGACAGCTTCTCGCCACGCCACTTGGTAGGAGCGACCGGTCAGGTAGGACGCAATCCAAGAGTGAGCCGCGCCGGAGATGCCCAGCTCGGAGAGGGTGGAGAGGAGGATCTGATGGTTCACAGTATCAAAGGCAGCAGACAGGTCTAGAAGGACAAGAGCAGAGGAGAGAGAGTTAGCTTTAGCAGTGCGGAGAGCCTCCGTGACACAGAGAAGAGCAGTCTCAGTTGAATGACCAGTCTTGATACCTGACTGGTTTGGATCAAGAAGGCCATTCTGAGAGAGATAGCAAGAGAGTTGGCTAAAGACGGCACGCTCAATAGTTTTAGAGAGAAAAGAAAGAAGGGATACTGGTCTGTAGTTGTTAACATCAGAGGGATCGAGTGTTGGTTTTTTGAGAAGGGGTGCAACTCTCGCTCTCTTGAAGACGGAAGGGACATAGCCAGCGGTCAAGGATGAGTTGATCAGCGAGGTGAGGTAAGGGAGAAGGTCACCGGAGATGGTCTGGAGAAGAGAGGAGGGGATAGGGTCAAGTGGGCAGGTTGTTGGGCGGTCCGGCCGTCACAAGTCGCAAGATTTTATCTGGAGAGAGAGGAGAAAGAAGTCAAAGCATAGGGTAGGGCAGTGTGAGCAGGACCAGCAGTGTCATTTGACTTAACAAACGAGGATCGGATGTCGTCAACCTTCTTCAAAATGGTTGACGTGGTCATCCACAGAGAGGGAGGAGGGGGGGAGGGGGAGCAGGATTCAGCAGGGAGGAGAAGGTGGCAAAGAGCTTCCTAGGGTTAGAGGCAGATGCTTGGAATTTAGAGTGGTAGAAAGTGGCCTTAGCAGCAGAAACAGATGAAGAAAATGTAGAGAGGAGGGAGTTAAAAGATGCCAGGTCCGCAGGGAGTCTAGTTTTCCTCCATTTCCGCTCGGCTGCCCGGAGCCCTGTTATGTGAGCTCGCAATGAGTCATCAAGCCACGGAACTGGAGGGGAGGACCGAGCCGGCCGGGAAGATAGGGGACATAGAGAGTCAAAGGATGCAGAAAGGGAAGAGAGGAGGGTTGAGGAGGCAGAATCAGGAGATTGGAGGGAGAAGGATTGAGCAGAGGGAAGAGATGATAGGATGGAAGAGGAGAGAGTAGCGGGAGAGAGAGAGAGCGAAGGTTGCGACGGCGCATTACCATCTGAGTAGGGGCAGAGTGAGTAGTGTTGGAGGAGAGCGAGAGAGAAAAGGATACAAAGTAGTGGTCGGAGACATGGAGGGGAGTTGCAGTGAGATTAGTAGAAGAACAGCATCTAGTAAAGATGAGGTCAAGCGTATTGCCTGCCTTGTGAGTAGGGGGGGATGGTGAGAGGGTGAGGTCAAAAGAGGAGAGGAGTGGAAAGAAGGACGCAGAGAGAAATGAGTCAAAGGTAGACGTAGGGAGGTTGAAGTCCCACAGAACTGTGAGGGGTGAGCCATCCTCAGGAAAGGAACTTATCAAGGCGTCAAGCTCATTGATGAACTCTCCAAGGGAACCTGGAGGGCGATAGATGACAAGGATATTAAGCTTAAATGGGCTAGTGACTGTGACAGCATGGAATTCAAATGAGGAGATAGACAGATGGGTCAGGGGAAAAATAGAGAATGTCCATTTGGGAGAGATGAGGATTCCTGTGCCACCACCCCGCTGACCAGATGCTCTCGGGGTATGCGAGAACAAATGGTCAGACGAGGAGAGAGGAGTAGGAGTAGCAGTGTTTTCAGTGGTAATCCATGTTTCCGTCAGCGCCAAGAAGTCGAGGGACTGGAGGGCAGCATAGGCTGAGATGAACTCTGCCTTGTTGGCAGCAGAACGGCAGTTCCAGAGGCTGCCGGAGACCTGGAACTCCACGTGGGTGGTGCGTGCAGGGACCACCAGGTTAGAGAGGCAGCAGCCATGCGGTGTGAGGCGTTTGTATAGCCTGTGCGGAGAGGAGAGAACAGGGATAGACAGAGGCATAGTTGACAGGCTGCAGAAAATGGCTACAATAATGCAAAGGAGATCGGAATGAAATGAACTAAACATCTGGGAAAGGAGAGAGTGGGGCCTCCCTCACCACAACACCCAAATATAACTTCCACCTCAGAAACTATAATTGTTGTAAACTACAGCGGTTCAATGTTTCCTAGGAATAGACTAACTTAGTTTATTCAGCTAGCTAACTAGGTACAGTATTCTTCCGTGAAAATCGTCCAGGGCACCTAGTCATAAGACGCCACAGCCAGCTAGCATGCCGGACTCCAACAACACGGTTTAGCACCAATACTCGGCCACAACAAACCACCAGTGTGTCAACACACCAAGCAGATCGTTCGTGTCCGTGTCTAACGTTGTGGGTTAGTCCCGACAGCTTGAGCGAGTCCGTCGTCAACTTATTCAGCCAGTTAGTTAGCTAGAATAGTTAGCATACTAGCTAGCCATTGCTTTCAGACAAAGAAGAAACCCCTCCTTTCACGGCACGAACCCACAGAGAGAGCCAAACTAACATTCACTAGTCACCCATGTCCCGAATTCCTTGAACGACTTTAGCTACCAATATGTAAAAATAAAACACAAATGTAGGTTATGACTTACCCCTAGCAGCTACTGTTAGCTAGCCAAGTGCAAAGCTAGCCACTGAATTGACTCAGCCAGTTCGCGTCTGTTCGCTAGGTCGTTCCAGCTATTGTTTACTAGTTGCTATCCAGGTAGCAACAAGCTAGCTAAATTTCAAGCACAGTAGCCACTTACTACCTAACGTTAACGGTTCAGACAATGAGGTTAGAAAACTGCTGAATGGTAGGCAATTATTGTATGTAATTATTGTAGGACGCCAGCTGGCGTAATTATAAGCACTCTCAGGCGTGAAACAACTATACCGTTGCTAATAGTTGCCAGTAGCTACCCGCTAGGTAGTGGGTTAGCCAGCTAGCTTCGTGCTTCACCGGGCTCAGTCGAATACAATACTAACCTACAATAATTACATACAACAACCCACGATAACTACCTACAATACCTAACTACAATACCTAACTACAATCTAAATACATAGTTTAAGCCTTACTCGACAAAGCCCAAACTATGTATAAAGCCAAGCATACCCGACGACCTCACCCGACAACCTCCTCCTGCATACACACACACACACACAAAACAAACTTTTGCAAGAGTGTATGCATTACGTGTAGGGTGGTAATTACGAAAGTTACCGGAATCTTGTATAATTTCGGTAATTATCAGGTAATCTACTGTAATTTTGCTAATTTAGACCTGGATAACTTTTTAGAAATGTATTCATATATATAGTATTTTTTTAAATATATATATCTGTGTCCAAATTGTTTTCTAGTGGATAGACCTTATGTTTCAAGAGAAAATAGCCTAATTAAAGAAAAAAGCATCTAATCAACAATGGCATTATTTTCAATTAACTCTGCAGCTCTTCCATCTATTGACTTCTTTCACAACTGCGACCAAACGTACCCAAAAAGGCCACAAGATGTCATTTTATAATATTCCCCGCAAAACCTTTAAAAGTTACCAAAACTCTGGTAGTTTACTGGTAACCCTGTCACCAATTTTGGCACTCTCAACCACTGAGGTAAAATAATTATTCCCGCAACACGCCATAGCCCCGCCTCCTCAGTTCCGGCATTTTTGCTCCGGAAGTACAGCAAATCTTTGGTTCACAGGAAAAGGAAAAAGACAGCTGTTGTTGGGAAACAAAACAGTAAAGTGAGTTTTAGTGACGAATGTATTTATTTTATAGTTTTATTATATGAATACGTATCATAACAAATGACGAAACGTGATTTCGTTGAGCATTTTTGTTTCTTGCAAATGTGTAGCTAGCTAACATTATTAGCTAGCTAACTCGGTACGACGCTAGGCTGTAGCCAATTCTCAATTGTCAACGTTATCGTCTGAAAAGCAGTGGTTTGCTTGCAATCGATTCATTAACAACTAGCTGGCGTGCTAATCTTAACCTACATAGTGAATGGACGTGAGTTTGATAATTGGAGTAACTAGATAGGTGGCTAGATAGATAGATAGGTAGATAGCTTTCTAACAACATTAGCTCGCTTGCTAGCTGTCTAGCCATCCAGTTAGCTGTTGCGCTCATTACAGCAGGCTACATTAGCTAGCTAGTTAGTTTTCGTGCTGTACTTAGCTAGGTTACACATTCCAATTACTAGTTTATAGGCTACAGTTCAAGATTTGAGCAATAACCACATATCCCACGCTTCGAGTTAGTGTTTAATTTGTTAAATAGTTCTGTCATTGGCTGCTTACTCTGATAGTTATGATTTGACACTGACACAGAAGCACATACATCTTACTAATACTCCATGTAGCGTGGTTATTATAGTCTCAATGGTATTGACTGTGTTATACATTATCAATAATAACGATGACAACAAACAGATGTACCTATTGCCATTCATATGTTGCATCACTTTTTCTTCATAGAATGCCTGCCCCTAAAAGACAACAGGCTACTCAGAATCCTCAAACTAAGAGAAGAAAGGTGGATCAGAATGAAGTGGCCATGCCATCTAACAAAATGACACCAGCCTCTGTAACGTCAAGCAAGCCCCATAGAGAAGGACCTTCGCAGAGAAGGAATAAGAAAAAGCCCCCAGCACAACGAAAAGACAGAAATAAACCATCAAAGTCCGGCTGTCATTCCTCCAAGACAAGATCATCCCAAAAGGCCACCACAAGGACCAAGTCCAATCCACTTGTCAAGAATGCCAAGCTGCTGAAAGCCACAAGTGCCTCATCAAAGAATCCCAACTCCAAAGGAACCCTAAAAAGACCAGCTAAGATCTCCAAAACAGCTTCCACAGAGTCAGACGAGGAGCTTATCAGAACTCGCAAACCCCATTGCATCAGAAAATACTCTAATGGGGATAGAGGTAAGCGTAAAGGGTCACACTCTAACCCGAATGAAGCAGCCTTGCCCTCAGACCCTGTGCAGATGGATCACAATTATGGTATACCCCCTGCATCTCGTGGTAGTCATTCTGAATGTGAGGAAAATAAAATTAAGGGAGTCACAGAGTCCACCAGAAGCCCAGAGAGCCAGAGAGATGTAAAGATGGAAACTCAAGAATCTTCAGTGAAGGCTTCAGGTCCCGTACGTGGACAACCTGAGCAGGTGAACCAGAGCAGTGAGACACAGGAGATGCAGGGAGATTCTGTGACTACTCCTACAGATGAAGTTAATGAGAGTGTAGAGACCAAGCCTGACACACAAATAATGTCTCCTCCCGCTATAGTAGCATCCTCTGAGAAAGCTTCAGACCCCATCCCTGAGCACTTGAACCAGAGCAGTGAGAGACAGGAGATGCAGGGAGATTCTGTGACTACTCCTACAGATGAAGTTAATGAGAGTGTAGAGACCAAGCCTGACACACAAATAATGTCTCCTTTAGCTATAGTAGCATCCTCTGAGAAAGCTTCAGACCCCATCCCTGAGCACTTGAACCAGAGCAGTGAGATGCAGGGAGATTCTGTGACTACTCCTACAGATGAAGTTAATGAGAGTGTAGAGACCAAGGCTGACACACAAATAATGTCTCCTCCCGCTATAGTAGCATCCTCTGAGAAAGCTTCAGACCCCATCCCTGGGCAGCTGAACCAGAGCAGTGAGACACAGGAGATGCAGGGTGATTCTGTGACTACTCATACAGATGAAGTTAATGAGAGTGTAGAGACCAAGCCTGACACACAAATAATGTCTCCTCCCGCTATAGTAGCATCCTCTGAGAAAGCTTCAGACCCCATCCCTGGGCAGCTCAACCAGAGCAGTGAGACACAGGAGATGCAGGGTGATTCTGTGACTACTCCTACAGATGAAGTTAATGAGAGTGTAGAGACCAAGCCTGACACACAAATAATGTCTCCTCCCGCTATAGTAGCATCCTCTGAGAAAGCTTCAGACCCCATCCCTGGGCAGCTCAACCAGAGCAGTGAGACACAGGAGATGCAGGGTGATTCTGTGACTACTCCTACAGATGAAGTTAATGAGAGTGTAGAGACCAAGCCTGACACACAAATAATGTCACCTCCAGCTATAGTAGCATCCTCTGAGACAGCTTCAGAACCCATCACTGAGCAGGTGAGCCAGAGCAGTGAGACACAGGGTATTCAGGAAGGTTCTGTGACCACCCCTACAGTTCAAGTTAATGAGAGTGTAGAGAGCAAGCTTGAAGCATATATCAAGTCTGGAGACCCTGTACCTGAACAGAGCACTGAGATGCAGGAGATGCAGGAAAATGATATGACCACCCCTACAGGTCTAGTTAATGAATGTCTAGAGACTAAGGTCGATGCGAAAATATTTTCTCCTCCAGCTAAAGGCCTAGTAGCATATAGCAGCAGTAGTGAATCTGAAAGTGAAAGTGAGGAAAATGAAAGGAAGGCAGTCGCAGAGTCAAGAGATGTGACGATGGAAACTCATGTATCTTCAGAGAAGGTTTCAGACCCTGTAAATGAACAGGTGAAGCAGAGCAGTAAGAGACAGCAGATACAGGACGATTCCATGACCACCCCTACATATGAAGTTAGTGAAGGTCCCATGACCACCCCCAGTGAGAGTGTAGACACCAAGCTTGATACAAATATAAAGTCTCCTCCATCTATTGAAGCATTTTCAGAGGACGCTTCAGACCCTGTCCCTGAACAGGTTAATCAGATATGCATCGAAATAGAGGAGGTGCAGGAAAATTCCATGACCACCCCTCCAGATGAAGTAATTGAACGTTTAGATACCAAGCTTGATGCAAAAATAGATATCCCTCCACTTCTAGAAGCATCCTCTGAGGAGACCCATACAGTTGAAGTCAGTGAGAGTGCAGGAACCACGTTTGACGCAAAAATAAAATGTTCACATCCTGCAACTGTACATGTGATGCACAGCACCGAGATGCAGGAAGATTCTGCGCCCACCCATGCAGATCAAGTTAGTGAGAGTTTAGACACCAAGCTTGATATCGAACTAAAATCTCTTCCACCTGTAGAAGTAGCCTCAGAAGAGACTTCAGACAGTGTCTCAGAACAGGTGACGCAGAGCACTGAGACACAGGAGCTCCAGGAAGATACCATGACCACCCCTACAGATGAATTTAGGGAAAGTTTAGAGACAAAGTCGGGTGCTAAAATAAAGTCTCCACCCCTAGAAGCACTTTTCAGTGCTCTAAAGAAGTCCAGTCTTTGCAAACACCCCCTGTCTCATACAATGCGCTCAAATGTCAAAGAGTTTCTGGAAGTAGAGGATTCTTTAGAAATCATGAAAAAAGACTGTGACTTTGGTGTGACAGAGAGTATTGAGTGTACCTTAGACCTGGAGACCCCGATTATTGTTGAGGATATGGAGATTGGCCACTGTATTGTGGAGGTTGTGGGAGAGAATGGGGAAGATGTGGATATGGATAGTGATCTGGAAATCATAGACAACTCTGAGGTGCCAGAGAAGACAGTCCAGCTAACCAAAGGGTCTGAAGAAGAGTGTCGTCAGGATAAAAGTGAAGCTGGTACTGAAAAGAAAGGCACAAGTTCCTCTAACCAAGACAGCACAAATAGTGACAACCAGGAAGCTGCTAAAAAGACACCGGGTAGCCCGGAAAAACCCAAGAAACAGCAGATGAACCCTCAGGCCCGGACTAAAGCCAGACTAGCAGCGCTAGCTGAGCAAAAGGCGGCTGCCTCCAAAAAAGCGAGCAGGCAGCTTAACCTCCTGGCCCTATGTGAGGAAATAGCGGACGATATCGCCACTGACACCATGCTAATAAAGACGAAGGAGGAGGAGGAGGAAAAGGTTGTAACAGTTGAGGCTGAACCCATTAAGGAGCCAGAATGCCCACCGCCTTTCACACAGGCTGAGACGGTCTCTATCCCTCCAACTCCTGCCGGGCCCGAGGAGCCCTCTACCCCAGTTGTACCCACTGCTGCAGAGCCTGCTCCAGCCAAGCCCCCAGCTCCAGAGCCACCACAGAGGCGCTTCTTCATCAGCCAAGTGACGGTGCCCCTCAAAATCCACGAGAAGAAGAAACTTACCAGGTTCCAGAGGCTGCGGCAGGTGGAGCTGCAGCGGGAGAAGAATATGTCCTGGACCATGGTAAAGAAGCTGAAGTCGGATCAGGCCAATCATAAGATGTTTCCAGAGACTGAGGCCAAACCTGCCCCCCCATTACTGTCCACTCCAGCAGCAGCACCCCTCCCAGTGACCACAACACCCCCACCCCCCTCAGCCAGTCCAGCAGCACCCACAGTAGCTGCACCCTCTCCTGCCCCAGCCCCAACCAACCCAGCTGTAAGCCTAAAGCTTGAGCCCTCCAAAGTTGAGCCCTCCAAAGTTGAGCCCTCCAAAGTTGAGCCCCCCAAAGTGACCCCAAGTAAGGGACCCACCCTTAGAAAGAGGACGCTTCCAGCAGTACCCCCGCCGATGCCCAACGGGCTGAAAGCTCAGAAGGCCAAGCCTGTGGCAGAGTATAAGCCTTACAAAGCCAGGCCCAAGTACTCTTTTGATGACTTTGAACTGGATGACGAGCCGAAACCCTCACTGCAGAAGGCAGAACTACCCATCGTGCAGAGGGCAGCAGTGAGACCAACATCTACCACCATTCAGAGGGCAGCAGTGAGACCTACACCTACCACCATTCAGAGGGCAGCAGTGACACCTACATCTACCACCATTCAGAGGGCAGCAGTGGCCAAAAATGGCAAACATGAGGTAACTTTCTTGAACGATGATCTAAAATGATAAAAGGCATTTTTTGTGTGGCAAAAACTGTATTGAAATTCATTCTAGAAAATGTATTCTAAACCTGTTCTCCTCCTTCCACAGGACTCAAAACCTACCGGTCAGAAAACAGCGGTGCCTACCATGCAGAAGCCAGGAGTACCTACCGGCCAGAAGACGGCAGTACCTACCATGCAGACGCCAGGAGTACCTACCGGCCAGAAGACGGCAGTACCTACCGGCCAGAAGACGGCAGTACCTACCGGCCAGAAGACGGCAGTACCTACCGGCCAGAAGCCGGCAGTACCTACCGGCCAGAAGCCGGCAGTACCTACCGGCCAGAAGCCGGCAGTACCTACCGGCCAGAAGACGGCAGTACCTACCGGCCAGAAGACGGCAGTACCTACCGGCAGTACCTACCGGCCAGAAGACGGCAGTACCTACCGGCCAGAAGACGGCAGTACCTACCGGCCAGAAGACGGCAGTACCTACCATGCAGAAGACGGCAGTACCTACCATGCAGAAGCCGGCAGTACCTACCATGCAGAAGCCGGCAGTACCTACCATGCAGAAGCCGGCAGTACCTACCATGCAGAAGCCGGCAGTACCTACCGGCCAGAAGACGGCAGTACCTACCGGCCAGAAGCCGGCAGTACCTACCGTGCAGAAGCCAGGAGTACCTACCGTGCAGAAAACGGTTGTACCTACCACTCAGAAGACCATACCAACTGTGCAGAAGGCAGTTGTGACAAAACCTACAGTGCAGAATGCAGTAGAGACACCGACCCCTATGCCCAAAAATGGCAAACATGAGGTAACTTTCTTGGTTTTTATTCTACTTGAAGTGCTATCAGAAATGTTTGTTCAAAGCGACTTATAGTACAATGAGTGCATACATTTTTTTTTATATCCCTGTGGGATTTGAACCCACGACCTGCTAGAGCTTGGCACTAGGAATGCTCTTACCCACATCCTTATAATTGATCTAAAAAATGGTCTTGTGTGTGGTACAAGACACACATTTATTTGATCAATTATAACTGTCTTCATCTCCCCTCCTCCCACATGACTCCAAACTCACTGTGCAGAAGGCAGAAGTGCTTAAACCCACTGTACAGAAGGCAGCAGTGGTACCTACACTTACCCCTCAAACTGAGCAGAAAGCAGAAGCATCACCTACACCCAAAACTGGCAAAGATGAGGTAACATCATCGGACCTATTCTTTCTTTATTAGTAAGAATGGTATTTTTCTTTATCGATTATATTGAAATCCATTCAATAACTCTACAGGAGCCGGTTTCCCAAACTTAGCCCAGGGCACTTCAGTGACACATTAGAAGCAGCGTGGATTATCATAGAGCTGTTTTCATGCCTAACATAATTTTGGTGATGCAATTTATCCCTCTTAACCTCTTCTCTTTCTACAGGATTCCATAGCACCAGTGTCTTCCCCCCCGTTTGAAGAGGCCCCAAGAGATTCTGTTGACAAGGATCAGTGTGAAGAAAAGCCTACTGGTAATCTCATGTCTGATAACATCCAACCAAATCACATTTTGAATGGTGTTATAACTAGTGTGCTTTATCAATTTACCTGATTTTGCTAACCGTTACTTTGGACAAAATCAAGACGTAAATATTCTGGTAATGCTTTTTGTATAAAAAATCTGAAATTACAGCTCAATTTGAGCAAATTCTGAATTTGCAATTAATCACAGCAAATCCTGCAATTAACTCTGTTACGTTTTTTAAATAGTTTGACAGCCCTAGTTGTAACATATCGTCATATCCTCAAAGTGTAACAGGCTTTCTTACAGAATCTGTCTCTTTCATCTCAGTTACTGAGATTAAACCAGCATCCCCAGAGGTCAAGACAACAACAGAATCCTCTGACTCGTAAGAATTTACACTCAAATTGCAATTAATCTTTTCCACACAAAAACAATTTTCCAGAGTTAATTCGAACAATTTCTGTGTTTCCTTGGTAGTGTGGTCGTGCAATCAGCAGATAATAGCAGTCCCCTCTCTGACGCATGTCTGCAGAAAGAGATAAAAAAACTAAAGGAGGCCGACAAAGAGGAAAATCAAACCATCATTGTGAGTGTTTTGGTCCTTTGCCGAATACTGCCCACTGTATTACTGTACTTTGAATAGTTCTCTTTTGTAAAAGATGGGTGTTGTCCAAAGACTATGTTCCTACCATGGTCCCAGATCTGTTTGTGCTCTTGCCAACTCACTCGCTGTTGTTGCCAAGCATTTGGCGTGACAATGATTGACGAGTTGACATGATAGCACAAACAGACTGGCACTCAGGCTAGTAAGTTCCTGTAATCATGTAGAATATTGGTACCGTATGTATGTCAGAACTGATCCAGTCTGTGTGTCGTCTCCTAGGATGCAGGGCAGAAGCACTTTGGAGCAGTGACCTGCAGTGTGTGTGGGATGCTGTATTCCGCTGCCAACCCAGAGGATGAGTCCCAGCACCTGCACTTCCACAACCAGTTCATCAGTGCTGTCAGATATGTGGTGAGAAGGAGCGGTCTCCCACAGCAGAAGTAGTCAAAAGTAGTGCACTACTGTGTACAGGGAATAGGGAGCCGTTTGGGACGCAGGCCATGTGTGCCAACTCCACCTAACACGTCACCTCTGACTCAAACAACATCTCTCACACACATCATGCATCTCTCAACCTATAAACCACTGATTTATCATGTCGTCCACAGGGGTGGAAGAAGGAGAGGATTCTGGGAGAGTACCCCGATGGCAAGATCATCCTTGTCCTTCCAGATGACCCCAAATATGCACTGAAGAAGGTATGTGTGCTTCAGGCTCCAACTTTACACACAAAAACTTTTACTGTAATACGATCAAAATATAAGAGCATTATAGATCTTAAATATCTTTTGAAGCTCCTGATATACATCACTACATATCACAAGAGTTTGTTTGGCCTGTAGTCCAGGGTTATATTCACTAGGCATCAAACGTAAGAAAACTTACCGTAACGTTGAGGGATAAAAAAACTCTGGTTTTCATAGCAAAACGTTTTCTGTTGCAAAACATTTTGATACTGTGTGCACTAATGAATACGACCCTGCAAAGAAGTCTCACAGTCTGTTGGTTGTGTTGTCAGGTTGAGGAGATCAGAGAGATGGTGGACAATGACCTGGGCTTCCAGCAGGTGGAGACCAAGTGTCCCTCCCAGACCAAAACCTTCCTGTTCATCTCCAATGACAAGAAGGTGGCTGGGTGCCTAATTGCTGAGCACATTCAGGAGGTGAGCGATACGTCTGTGTGAGTTGGGGCTGTACTACTTCTCCCCTAGTACTTGTTGAGTGTTGTAGTATTCTCTATAGAGCTCAGTGGGAGCGTTTCCCAAGCAGTCTCAATTATAGGGATATCACAGTAGACTGTCTGCTCAGTCTGAGTCAGTATAACACTAGTAATTAGTCAGTCCTATAAATAGGACTGCAGGCAGTTTGTTCCCAATTTATTTCACCGCAGGTTCATGTCATTATAAAAGCCTTATTGTTTCCCATGGAGCCCATGTAAGTGATCACGTAGTACTGGATGCAGTATCCGTCACCTAGCTTGTATTGCAATAACAAAGCCAGGAGTATGTCATTGGCTAATTACTGTAGAAGCTGTTTTGTTGTCTGATTGTAAAATTCTGGTACCGTGGCCATTGTGAGAGCAGGCTAAATGAATAATAGTCAAACGAGTGAATGAGTGGGTGTGTGGAGTGATTTACCGCACAGAGTAGTGTGCTTATCTCTCCCTCTGCCCCATGGTGGAAACTGGGATGTCACCAGGCAGATTAAAAACTTGGCACAGCTGATACAGAGTGCTGAAAATGGAAGGGGTGTGGGACCTCTGAGTGTGTGTGTTTCTGTCCGCGAATGTGTGTTTTGGGATGATCTGCCGATACGGGAAGTGTGTGTTTGAAATGCGAGGTGGACATTTTATCGTAATTATGTATTCGCTCTTGTTGCGTGTGTGTGTGCAGGGCTACAGGGTGATCGAGGAGGCGGTGCCCGAGGGCTCGGAGGGAGAGAAGGTGATGTTTGAGCGTCAGAGAGCCTGGTGCTGTTCCACCACCCCAGAGCCAGCCCTCTGTGGCATCAGCCGTATCTGGGTCTTCAGCATGTTGAGACGGAGGGGCATCGCCTCGCGCATGATTGAGTGTCTCAGGTCAGTCTTACTTGGGCGTGAATTGTAGCTGCAACACTTTTCTTTTGTGTGTGTGTGTGTGTGTGTGTGTGTAAAAATCTACAGAATTTCATCCTTCAGTCACCTATATAAACTGCTCCCCACTGGAGACGGTTCAATCCCTGCGTCCACCTTTCCTGCTGTACTCCCACTTGCCTGTCTCCACCTCTGTTTCGGACTGTCAAAATACACTGCTCAAAAAAATAAAGGGAACACTAAAATAACACATCCTAGATCTGAATGAATGAAATAATCTTATTAAATACTTTATTCTTTACATAGTTGAATATGCTGACAACAAAATCACACACAAATTATCAATGGAAATCAAATTTATCAACCCATGGAGGTCTGGATTTGGAGTCACCCTCAAAATTAAAGTGGAAAACAATCACACTACAGGCTGATCCAACTTTGATGTAATGTCCTTAAAACAAGTCAAAATGAGGCTCAGTAGTGTGTGTGGCCTCCACGTGCCTGTATGACCTCCCTACAACGCCTGGGCATGCTCCTGATGAGGTGGCGGATGGTCTCCTGAGGGATCTCCTCCCTGGACTAAAGCATCCGCCAACTCCTGGACAGTCTGTGGTGCAATGTGGCGTTGGTGGATGGAGCGAGACATGATGTCCCAGATGTGCTCAATTGGATTCAGGTCTGGGGAACGGGCGGGCCAGTCCATAGCATCAATGCCTTCCTCTTGCAGGAACTGCTGACACACTCCAGCCACATGAGGTCTAGCATTGTCTTGCATTAGGAGGAACCCAGGGCCAACCGCACCAGCATATGGTCTCACAAGGGGTCTGAGGATCTCATCTCGGTACCCAATGGCAGTCAGGCTACCTCTGGCGAGCACATGGAGGGCTGTGCGGCCCCCCAAAGAAATGCCACCCCACACCATGACTGACCCACGCCAAACCGGTCATGCTGGAGGATGTTGCAGGCAGCAGAACGTTCTCCACGGCGTCTCCAGACTCTGTCACGTCTGTCACGTGCTCAGTGTGAACCTGCTTTCATCTGTGAAGAGCACAGGGCGCCAGTGGCGAATTTGCCAATCTTGGTGTTCTCTGGCAAATGCCAAACGTTCTGCACGGTGTTGGGCTGTAAGCACAACCCCCACCTGTGGACGTCGGGCCCTCATACCACCCTCATGGAGTCTGTTTCTGACCGTTTGAGCAGACACATGCACATTTGTGGCCTGCTGGAGGTCATTTTGCAGGGCTCTGGCAGTGCTCCTCCTGCTCCTCCTTGCACAAAGGCGGAGGTAGCAGTCCTGCTGCTGGGTTGTTGCCCTCCTACGGCCTCCTCCACGTCTCCTGATGTACTGGCCTGTCTCCTGGTAGCGCCTCCATGCTCTGGACACTACGCTGACAGACACAGCAAACCTTCTTGCCACAGCTCGCATTGATGTGCCATCCTGGATGAGCTGCACTACCTGAGCCACTTGTGTGGGTTGTAGACTCCGTCTCATGCTACCACTAGAGTGAAAGCACCGCCAGCATTCAAAAGTGACCAAAACATCAGCCAGGAAGCATAGGAACTGAGAAGTGGTCCGTGGTCACCACCTGCAAAACCAGTCCTTTATTGGGGGTGTCTTGCTAATTGCCTATAATTTCCACCAGTTGTCTATTCCATTTGCACAACAGCATGTGCAATTTATTGTCAATCAGTGTTGCTTCCTAAGTGGACAGTTTGATTTCACAGAAGTGTGATTGACTTGGAGTTACATTGTGTTGTTTAAGTGTTCCTTTATTTTTTTGAGCAGTGTAATTGTCAAAAGTGTACACATAAAATGTAAAATATATATTTAAATCTGTAGTTTCTTCTCGTATTGCCCTCCTCAGGAACAACTTCATTTACGGCTCCTACCTGAGCAAGGAGGAGATTGCCTTCTCCGACCCCACGCCCGACGGGAAGCTCTTCGCTACACACTACTGCGGCACCTCGCAGTTCCTGGTTTATAACTTTGTCAGTGGAACTCGTTCAGATCAACCAAGTCGGAGTGTGGTGTAAGCAATCGCATCAAGGTGGATTTTTGCTGAGGCCCAGTGAGACTTGCCCTCACCAACTAACCAACCAATCTCTGGATCTTGTCGTGGGGACAGCCTGTCACAAGCACATTGTGGTTCTTTTAGACTGAAGGGTTAGACTCAGGCTGACTCTTCTGAGGGGACATCTAGGTTTTTAATCTCAGGTTGAAAACAACGTGTTGTTTGAAAAATATTAAAATTCTCCCTTTAATCCATGCATAGTATTTTGAGACAAAGAATATTTTTCTTTATGTTTTTTAAATAAGAAACCAGCGTTTTATTGGAAGTATTAAAGAGTTTACATGCATGAAACTTGACAGCAATAGAATACAGAGTATTTCTTAATTCATAATTTTGAATTATGAACCCCCATTTCAAACATTTAAAAAAAATTGGAGAGATACACTACATTTTACTCAAATGGTTCTAAAACAATGCTGTGGTCCTGTTCTAATAATGCATTTAATTAATTTTAGCCTCTTAAAACAGGTTAAAAGTTGCTGTATTAAGATGAAGAGTTATTCCTCTTGTGTACACAAGGGAATGTTCTTACACACATCCATGTTCATCATCTCTTGACATTTCATGCAGTGATATTATGACTCCATTATGTGATGGAGTACATTACTATAAGAGGTCACTGTCACACAATTTCTCATGTGTTTGTTTGATTCTGGTGAGTTTTTACTCACTATTTTCTTCACATGAAATTGTAATTCTCAGTCTTGCTGCCATGTGTCCTAATCATGTCCATTATTAAAAGGGAGAGTCCTTTTTTGGATCGTTATCCCTAGGCGGTAGCATGGACGGACTAGCAGGCAGGGAAACGGAGGTAATAACGTTGGTTGGATTTCTAGATGGGACATTTTGCTGTAGTGCTCCCATTCAAAGCTCTTTACCCAAGTTGCCTCAGAAATATATCTAACTGTAGAGAAGTTAAATTTGAGCCATGATATAAGTGAATTGGCAAGGCAGTGAGCATTTGCTTGTTTCTTCCGCTGTGTATGTTTGTGCCTACAGTGAATCATGAACCTGACTGATGGACTGACTTGTGATACTGTAGACTTCCTCAAAAGTTCTCGTTTAAACTGCCCTCAACAGCATTTTTTTCCTTGAATTCAAATGTTTGATGCTTTATGATTTCTTCTATCGCTAGAAAGTTTTATCAATGAGGTCATGCATTGTCCTAAATGCGAATAATAACTAAGAGTTCAAAGTAAATCATGTGATATGAATAATATCAACAATGCCATTGAAAGGGGTTTAAAAGCTTCGGGTTATTTGGTTTTTGAGGGAGTTGAAAACATCCATGTCAAGGATTATTATCACAGCAAACCAAGGGACTGTTGCTCAGCCATCAGAAAGGGTTGTGATTCATACATTTTCTTGTATCCATGGGATTTATTCATTCATCACATTGCCCTCCATGTTAAAACATTTTCTTTTAGAAATATTGTGTCGTGTAAGAAAACTAAATGGATTTATACAGAGCTGTCATGTAAATAGTTATTTAAAAATAAACATTTTGAAAAACTATCCTGCTATGGGTAAATTGATTTAAGTTGAGATGTCTCACAGTTTAGTGAGCATGAATGTAGCAATCATAATGTTATAGCTAACGTTGACAAGGAAAGCTTCATGGTTACATATCACTCTACTCTATACCACCTTGGAGTAGGTTGGGTGATGAAGGCTTGTTCTACCACCTAGTGGACAAAGGACATGACAACATATTTTCTCTGTTCTGGGTTACCAGTGGTGGCCACTACAGACAAAGCCCAATGTTACCATGAAGTTTGATGAGATTTTTATCTTATCAGTCATGGTGGCTCTGTTTGATAGACAGGTTGCTATCTCTCTTGCTGTTGAATGTTCTAATTAGAGCCACAGTCATTACCCCAACAGCATGAGTGGGTGGGTGTTGTATTACTTTCAGTCCCATGTGTTAGAATAGTCAGTTACACATTTCCTTATGAGTTTCATATCAGCACTCTGAGACTGGCTGACACTAGAAGAGGAAATAATTGATGCTACGACACCAGTCATAACTCAATGGACCCGACCCGGCAACCATTGCGACTAAAAGGGATTTGGGGATTTTAATCTGGCCACCATGTTCTCATTCTGTGTCTTTGTAGATGGATCGACGTAAACGCTGTCCTGTTAGTGCATTCCACAGCTCTCCTGTCACAACACCAGGCCTGCTCGAAGGTTACTTCAGAGAAAAATAAATAACCTTAGAACAACATGGACACTTCCTCAGACGGAGGGCGTGAGAAAACACTGAGCTACGTTGATCCTCAGAGCTGCTCTGATACTGATCAGGAAAAACTGTGGAAATGACTTAACATTTATAACTAAAACATAACAGGCCAGCAGAAAGATCAAAACCAGGAGGTTAATCTCCATTACAGTGTAATAAATGACTACTTCCAAATGCTATATAGAGGAAATATAGTTAATATAATTATTTCCACAAATGCAGGTTCTGCTGATTAGCCACTAAACGTGACCACACACATAATCAGTATATTCACCCAAAATGTGCATCTACAGCAGATGAGCCCTTTACAGGTTAACTTAGTACACTCGTCAACCGGTGGCTACATTAAACAAAGAGAATAGACAAACAGGGTGGACAAAAACATGTATAGATTTTGTTTTGTTTTATTGACAAATTAAAAAAATTCAGTAAAGAAACACTCAATAGAACAATAAATCACAGCTGCCAGAAATGTACATGTATGATACAAGTAGTGTAATAAAAGTTGATTTGTTATTGCAAGTTATGCTTATGGCTATTGTTTGTAAATGCTAATCTAGAGATGTATGCTTTCTGAATTCACTCTATACTTTATGAATTCACTCTCATGTAATGATGCAAGAGAAATGCATTTGCACAAATAAATTAACTGTACAGCTAATACACTATACAATATTAAGTACCAGGGGGTTACTTACAGACAATACATTTCTAGATCTTGTGATCAAGCACTGTTTTGACCACACTGCACAGGCATGACCATGAATCTTGTAGAGGGGTCGTTCCACCAATTAGGTGCCTTTTGAGTAGCGTAACTTGTTGAAACAGAACAAACATTTTATTTCACCTAATTTAAACATTCTGTCATAAAGAGCTTAATAAACTTAACTTAATAAAAAATATGTTTTCCCATCTCAAAATGTTAAAACCCTGTTACAAATGACCATAACAGGGTTGACGGCTTCATCTTAAATCATCCATAAATCCCCTTGTGACAGGGGGAGGCAATTGAATGCAGGCTTCACAAATAAATTGGAATTGTTAAAACATTTATAGCCTGTCTATCTGTGGGTAACAGCGTTGTTGTGTTATGACCTGCTCAGTTTTCCACCACAAAACACCAGAAAATTGACCAAAAAAGGAATTGTTTCACCATACAGTGAGGGAAAAAAGGATTTGATCCCCTGCTGATTTTGTATGTTTGCCCACTGACAAAGAAATTATAATAATAAATAATATATAATATGCCATTTAGCAGACGCTTTTATCCAAAGCGACTTACAGTCATGCGTGCATACATTTTAGTGTATGGGTGGTCCCGGGGATCGAACCCACTACCTTGGCGTTACAAGCGCCGTGCTCTACCAGCTGAGCTACAGAGGACCACAAGACCTCCATTATCAGTCTATAATTTTAATGGTAGGTTTATTTGAACAGTGAGAGACACAATAACAACAAAAAAATTCCAGAAAAACGCATGTCAAAAATGTTATAAGTTGATTTGCATTTTAATGAGGGAAATAAGTATTTGACCCCTCTGCAAAACATGACTTAGTACTTGGTGGCAAAACCCTTGTTGGCAATCACAGAGGTCAGACGTTTCTTGTAGTTGGCCACCAGGTTTGCGCACATCTCAGGAGGGATTTTGTCCCACTCCTCTTTGCAGATCTTCTCCAAGTCATTAAGGTTTCGAGGCTGACGTTTGGCAACTCGAACCTTCAGCTCCCTCCACAGATTTTCTATGGGATTAAGGTCTGGAGACTGGCTAGGCAACTCCAGGACCTTAATGTGCTTCTTCTTGAGCCACTCCTTTGTTGCCTTGGCCGTGTGTTTTGGGTCATTGTCATGCTGGAATACCCATCCACAACCCATTTTCAATGCCCTGGCTGAGGAAAGGAGGTTCTCACCCAAGATTTGATGGTACATGGACACGTCCATCGTCCCACTGGTGCAGTGAAGTTGTCCTGTCCCCTTAGCAGAAAAACACCTCCCAAAGCATAATGTTTCCACCTCCATGTTTGACAGTGGGGATGGTGTTCTTGGGGTCATAGGCAGCATTCCTCCTCCTCCAAACACGGCGAGTTGAGTTGATGCCAAAGAGCTCCATTTTGGTCTCATCTGACCACAACACTTTCACCCAGTTCTCCTATGAATCATTCATATGTTCATTGGCAAACTTCAGACGGGCATGTATATGTGCTTTCTTGAGCAGGGGGACCTTGTGGGCGCTGCAGGATTTCAGTCGTTCATGGCGTAGTGTGTTACCAATTGTTTTCTTAGTGACTATGGTCCCAGCTGCCTTGAGATCATTGACAAGATCCTCCCGTGTAGTTCTGGGCTGATTCCTCACCGTTCTCATGATCATTGTAACTCCACGAGGTGAGATCTTGCATGGAGCCCCAGGCCGCGGGAGATTGACAGTTCTTTTGTGTTTCTTCATTTGCGAATAATCGCACCAACTGTTGTCACCTTCTCACCAAGCTGCTTGGCGATGGTCTTGTAGCCCATTCCAGCCTTGTTTAGGTCTACAATCTTGTCCCTGACATCCTTGGAGAGCTCTTTGGTCTTGGCCATGTTGGAGAGTTTGGAATCTGATTGATTGATTGCTTCTGTGGACAGGTGTCTTTTATACAGGTAACAAGCTGAGATTAGGAGCACTCCCTTTAAGAGTATGCTCCTAATCTCAGTTTGTTACCTGTATAAAAGACACCTGGGAGCCAGAAATCTTTCTGATTGAGAGGGGGTCAAATACTTATTTCCCTCATTAAAATGCAAATCAATTTATAACATTTTTGACATGCGTTTTTCTGGGTTTTGTTGTTGTTATTCTGTCTCTCACTGTTCAAATAAACATACCATTAAAATTATAGACTGATCATTTCTTTGTCAGTGGGCAAACGTACAAAATCAGCAGGGGATCAAATACTTTTTTCCCTCACTGTATTAAAACGAGAGTTGAGTTCACGTAATAGGACTCACCTTTTTTTTCTTAAAATGAATCACTAATCACATGAAATAAATAACAATATTCAGAAATGACTCATTTCTATGTCAAAGCAACAAAATAACTAGGGCTTTACAATGATGGTGAAAACTTGGATACATTTTGGGGTTAAGTGGGTTAAAATCTTCCTAGAAGTCACAGAGAATGCATAGAGCAACATGTCAAAATGCTGAATTTTGGTCACTTTAGCAAGTCTTTATTTATATAAAAATCTGATTTATTGAATTTTCCATGTGGTCTATATTAAAGGGAACTTGATTTAATATAGCAGGCTTTTAAATTCAATATTTGTGCACAGTTTCTACTTAAAATATCAATGGGGCGCGCAAAAGGCGCTTATTTTGTGGAACGACCCAGAGGCATGTTAGGTTCTGAGTGAAGGGGATTGCCATTGCGTGACATCTGAGTGAAGGGGATTGCCATTGAGGGACATCTGAGTGAAGGGGATTGCCATTGAGGGACATCTGTGAGGACCTGATCTGTTTAAAGCGTTTTAAACAAGATTACAGTAATGTACAGGATGCTCATTCTTAGGACAGCCCACCTACCTAGTGCTAATGGAGAGTGGGAAATACAGAGTACACAGAAAATACACAGTCAAGGTGTTATTGTAAAAATATGTACAGATGCTATATTTACAGAATATATTAAAAGGTATTAAAAGTTGAACATGGCATAACAGATTGTTGAGTAAAATGTTTGTTTGAAAAATTTACAATTCACATGATATAAAAAAAACAAGTGAAATAAGTTTCCCCCATTAGTGTTGTCTATTCCACCAAAGTTATTGTAACATTTATAATTTCTTAACAATCCATTACAATGTGTTATGATATCATGCTGTATAAGCCATAGTATTGGCAACATTAATGTTCAGGCACAAAGTATTCATTATTAACTTTATCCCACAGGACACACTGAGTCTTATCCATCTTAAAGAAATATACGACATCTCCTTGTACCTTGCATGCCCTCATTAATAAGCTGGCTTTAGCAGAGAGCCCATATCTAATTGTGTCACAGTTACAGGATGGGGCAGTGCTGGCCACAGGAGAAGTAGAGCATCTCTAGTGCATCTGGCTCCTGAGGAATCTTCTTGACATCTGTCTGTCCTTTGCCAGGCTGACCTTTGCCAGGCTGGACCACCACAACCTTTCCACGTCCCAGGCCTTCTATCACAGGGTGTACTTTATTATCTGGCATCTTGAAGTCAATAGGGGCAAAAGCTGGCAGTGTTCCATTCTTCTCAGCCAACAACTTGGGTTCCTCTGCCTTGTCTTTACTGTCCTTTGAGATGTCACCAATGGCACTGCCCTTGCTGACAGGGCTTAGGTCATCCTGGTACGGGTCTGAGTCACAGCCATGAGGCAGGTTGAAATAGGTGCACTTTGCCACCAAAGGCTTCACAGTCTTCACCATGTCCTCCCAATCGGTGTGACCGAAAAGGGAGTAAGGAACATATTTTGTATCTTTGCACTCATCTTCAATTGATGCAGATGTGTTCTTGTTTATATTAATAGGCTCTGAGACAGACTTTCTGATCACGCTCTCTCTGAGGAGCCACCTGTTTTCGTCTATCAGGACACAGTCTCCAGGCCTGACCTGTGCATTGAAGGCGATACACCGCGTTGGCTCACTGTATGTGTCAAAAGAGCTTGTGGCAGTGAAGTATGATAAGTCAGACATGACTTTGGTCTGTGCATTATGGAATGGAGAAAGGCTGATCTTACCAGGGAATTCTCTGGACTTTGGTCTTGGGACAGATAAAGGCTGACTTTCACTGGCAAGGACTTTTTCATTTGTATCTTTCTTCCCATAAAGCCTTTCAATAGTTCTCCTGACAAAGCCTTTCGTGATGGATTTCTTCAGGGAATCATCCTCAACACTGGACATCTCAGTTGACATCAGTGATCGATGACCACCGTCAGAAGTCTCTGGTCTGTTGTCAGACAGATCTGAGCTGTTTGGGCTGGGTAGTCTTGTTTGTCCATACTGACTGTCCACAACGCTTTTTGCCATAAACATTTCCTTTATTGTCTTGACCCTATTTCCCTCAGGCTCTCTAGTTATACAGCCATCATAGCTAAATGCTAGCGAGGAGGATCGTGGAGCTGGGGGGGACATGACTACAGTTTCTGACGTATTTATAGGCCACATTGTCCTTTTACAAGTGTGCACAGGAGCTTTGTCTTGCTCTTTGACATCCTTAACAACATAATTGGTTGTTTTCATCTCAGATGCTTTCTCCATGAACTTGTCAAGCTCAGCTTGTTCATTAGATAGATGGGATACGTTTGTTAAATCATCACCATCTGAGACAGCGGGAACCTTTATGTGGCCAAACGGTTTGATGCCAGTTGTCTCTATAGTAATGATTTTCCTTTGCTCTACATCAGCAATCTTCATATCCAGTAGTTTTACTCGCTCTGCTACAGATGGTAATGGTTCCTCAAAACGGTTGGTTGTTTTTGCTTCAGTCGTTTCGTAATTCGTATCCTCCTCAAACGGCTGTTCCTGATACTCTGCATAGCTCTCATCCTCTACGCCAACATGTTCTGCCTCAGAGCTAGACAGCTTCTCTTCATAGTGTACTTGCTTCTCTGTGCTACGCTGATTATCCTCAACGTTGACTTCTTCTGCAGTATCAGACTGTTGTTCAAAGCTAACATGCTGCTCACTATCCTTATCCATCCTGTCAACACTAGAATGCTGTTTGACCAAGCTAGGCTGCATTTCTATGACAGTAGACACTATTTCTTTTTGAGTAGTCTGCTTCATCCATAAGTGAGTCTGCTCATCCTTCACGTTAATGTGTGCATTTGCATTGGGAAGGTCATGTGCGTGGCTTTCCTCTTCCTCCTCTAAGCTAGCCTGGTCGTCTTCAGGGATAAACTCTCTTTCCTCTCTACTGACCTGCATCTCTATACATTTAACCCCTTTCTCTTCATGACTTGGTTGGTTCTCAATGTGACATTCAAGATCTTCCTCTAAGCTAGCCTGCTCTTCTTCAAGACGAGACATGCTTTCCTCACTGCTAACCTTTACATCCGTACATTTAACCTCAGGCTCTTCATGGTTTGGTTGGTTCGCAACATGACATTCCAGCTCTTCATCTGAGCTAGCCTGGTCTTCTTTAGGGGTGGACTTTCCATTCTCACTGCTATCCTGCAGGTCCAAGCATTTGACCTCTGGGTCCTCATGGTTTTGGCTTATGTGACACTCACGTTCTTCCTCTGAGCTAGCCTGCTCCTCAGGGGTGGACTCTCTTTCCTCACGGCTAACCTGCAGCCCAAAATAGCTTGGCTGATCCTCTATGTAACATTGTTGCTCTTCCTTCAACCATTCCTCCTCCATACATTTATTTTCTGACTCCACATGGCTAATTTGGTCCTCAACATGACATTTCTGTTCTTCCTCTGAGCTAGCCTGGTCTTTTTCTACGCTTTCCTTACAGCTGACCTGCAGCTCCATAAATGTAACCTCCTGCCCCACATGACTTGGTGGGTTCTCAATGTAGTATTCCTGCCCTTCTTCCAAGCTTTTCTCCTCCTTACTGCTAACTTTCAACTCAACACATTTAACCTCTGGCTCCTCATGGTGGTTTGAGCTACCCTGGGCTTGTTCAGCGGTGGACTCTCCTTCCTCATTGCTAACCTGCAGCTCCATACATTTGATCTCCTGCTCCACATGTGGGTTCTCAATGTAGTATTCCAGATCTTCCTCCAAGCTTTCCTCCTCCTTACTGCTAACCTTCAACTCAACACATTTAACCTCTGGCTCCTCATGGTCGTTTGGTTGGTTCTCAAATTGACCTTCGTGTTTTTCCTCTGAGCTAGCCTGGTGATGTTCAGCAGTGGACTTTCCTTCCTCATTACTAAGCTGGAGCTCCATCATTTTGATATCTTGCTCCACATGTGGGTTCTCAATGTAGTATTCCTGCTCTTTCTTCAAGCTTTCTTCCTCCTCCACATAGCTTGATTGTATGTCCCCATCCTTCTCTTTAGCGTCCACAGGACAGGCTGGCTTGTCCAAATAGCCATCATGCAATGCTAAACTGTAAGCTTGCTCTATCTCTGAGGATGTCTGTTCTTCATCATGGTCAACCTGTTTGTGTGCACATTTAGCCTCCTCTTCTTCCCAGTTGTCCTGCTCAAGTTCAGAACCTTCCTTATTCGCTGCCTGTCTGTTTATGTGGCAAATATAATCCTCTTTAAAGCTTTGTTCTTCTGAGGAGAAGTACTGCTCTTGCCTACTGCTTGGGTTCTCTGGGATTGGTGACATTGTATTTTCAGCCACCTCTTTGGGATGGTGAATATTAGTAAATCTTTTAATATTGGATTTATCAACATTAGCTTCATTATTAAGCACATTATCATTGGCAGCCTCTTCCTTGGGGACTGCAGTAGAATTGGCATTTACCCCTCCCTCTGGGGATGACTCCACTTTTTCATTAGCTTTTTTAGACATTTCTATTTCATCCCCCTCCATACTTATGCTCACCCCTGTCGGAAGGGCTGTCAATGCTTCCTTGAGCTTTTCAGGCACATCAAGCTCATTTATTAGCTCATCGATATCCAATGCCTTTTCTTCAATGTTGTAGTCCTCTGGGTGTGTCTCAAACAAGAGATCATGCTCTGAACTGTTCAGTGCTGAGCTGCAACTTCTGACTTTGTCATTGAGTTCCTGGAAGCCCTTCCAACTTTGCAGTAGTTGTGCTGAAGTTGACTTTTGCAAATCTGACAGGCTAGCTTTCAACTCCTCTGCATCCTCTATGTTGGCAATTTCTCTCAGAGACTCCATCATTTTCAAAGCCTCAGCACAGCTTACACTGTTTGCATTCAATTCAGGTATGTTCCAGTTAGCGAAGCTTTCCTTTAAGGTAATAACAGCTAAGAAAGCCAGGAGAGCTTTGGAGGATGACCCAAATGTAGAGGCCACATGGGAGGAGAAATCAGGTAAGCTGTTTGACTTTTCAAGACAAGATGGATGATTGTTGTGTGTGATTTGTCTAATTGACTGAATTGAGAAACAGAGCTTCTCTAGCACAGGTTTCATGTCTGGTTGGGGAGGCAGTTTTTCTGTGTATGATGGTATCTGTGTTTTTGTTAGAGGCTCCTCTGCTGTTACTTTTGTACTGGCTCCCTGATCTGAATTGCTCAGCTTATCATCACCATTTGTCTCTTCATGATTCACTAAAGTGGGACTGGGAGTTATTGGTGTCTTCTTCATAGAGGAATTGAGGTGTACTGGCTTTGACTTTGGTGAAAATGGCGTTTGGCTGCTTTTTCTTGGTAAAGGTGTCCTTTTCAAGGTGGGACTTACTGGTGATGGTTCGCTTTCCAGAGAGTGATTTCTAGATACTGGCTTTTTTTTTGCCTTGAGTCTCATAGGTGGTGACACTATTTCCAAAGACTGAGAATACGGTGACAGTCTATTTTTCAATATGCGATTACTAGGTACTGGTACCTTTTCTGAAGAGAGATTACTTCTCGTCATAAGAGTGGGTAATTTTGTTATTTCAGGTGAAACATTGTTGTGCAATTGTGTTTTCAAAGAGATATGTCTTGGTAGTTGTGTCCTTCCTTGTTGAGGACTGCTAGATAATTTGATATTTTCTGAAGTGGAGTCACTGGGTAATGAAGACTTATTTGGTAGTGATGTCTCTTCCAATGAGTGACTGTTAGGTAGTTGTGTTTTTTCTACTGTGATTTGAACAGGATTTGATAACTGGGCCTTCTCCAAAGTAGGATTACTGGATAATGAAGACTTCCCCACTGACGCTCTTCTAAGTGATAGTTGCTTTTCTAGGGAGAGATTACTGATCAATCGTGTCTTCTTCATTGGGAGTTTAGGTGATGATGTTTCTTTCAGAGTGGAGTGGTTGAACAATGTTGTTTTTTCCAATACATGGCCAGTGGGTGATAGAGCCTCCCCTGATGAGGGGCAGATTGATAAGGCTCTTTCATCTGATGTGATACTAGTAGGTGATGTCGAGATGAAACATGAGGGACAACTAGCTGATGAAGGCTCATTTAAGACATTGTTGGATATTAAGGTTTTAGCAGGCTGTGATGTCTTGTCAGATGAGAGACCATTGGAGATTGGTGCCTTATCCATCAACACTTTTTCCACAGTAGGATCACTGGATATTGAAGACTTCTCAGCTGAGGCTTTCCTGAATGATAGTTGCTTTTCCAGGGAGAGATTACTGAGCAATCGTGTCTTTTTTGTTGAGAGTTTAGGTGATGGTGGTTCTTTCAGAGTGGAGTGGTTGAACAATGTTGTCTTTTCAAATACTTGGCCAGTAGGTGACGTAGCCTTGTCTGATGAAGGACTGCTTGATAAGGGTTGTTCTTCATCAACTAAACTACTAGGTGATGAACACATTAAATATGAGGGACTGCTAGCTACTGAAGACACATCTAAGACTTTGTTGGATAATGGTGTCTTCTCCGTAGGTGTTTTAGCAGGCAGTGGTGTCTTCTCATGCGAGAGACTGTTTGAGACTGTGGTCTTCTCTATTGAGGAGCTATTTGGTACTGATTTATTTTCCAATGACAGACAATTTGTGATTGGTGACTTCTCTACTGAGATCTTCATGGGCATTGATGTTTGTTCCAATGAAGGACTGTCAGAGGATGATGGCTTTTCTACTGAGATTATTGCAGGAGGAAAGACAGAGAAACCGTTGGAGAGAGGTGGATTTTCAACTGAGGGATTAGTGTGCAACCTTTCCTGTATAGTATCACTGTGTAATGGAGTCTTTTGCAATGATGGGTCAGAAGGACATGTTAATGTTGTGTTTTCCAAAGTCAGGTTTGTCTGTGTTGCTATATTTTCAAATGTTCTATTTGGAAATGCTGTTGTTACCAAAGATGGACTACTTGGCATTTGTGTTTTTTCCTTAAAAAAACAAGACTCATCTTCTTCAATATCCATTTCACAATTGATTTCTGACACATCTGGAACAATGTCCTCCTCAGTTTCTACCTGAGACATTGTTGGTGTCTCCACATTTTGAGTTTCCTCCACTGGGTCTGGGTACACAGTTGGGAGGGCTTTCTCTAACCAGTTCTCAACATATTCATTGATATTAGAAGAGGAGGAAAGGAGTGCAGGCAGTGACATATCATGACTCTCTTTCTCAATCCTTCTCTCCTCGTGCATGGACCTCAGCATTTTCAGTGTTCCCTTCACATGGTCCTCCGTAGGAAATGAAACATGCAATAATTTATTATTTACTGAAACTGAAGTCTCGTTTCTTTTTTCATTAACATTTAGTTCTTTCACTGACGATGCCTTTGGGTTTTCAATATTTAATTTGATTTCCTTTCCTTTTAGTTTATTTTTTATTAGACTTCTGGCAGGTTTTGGTCCATATATTTTCCTTATGGATGCATTGCTGCTAAACCTCCCAGTTTTCAGTCTTTTATTGTTTTCAGGAGCATTTGCATTACTCTCTTTACATCTTTTGTCTGGTGTTGTGCTCTTACGAACCTGGTTCTTTCTCACTTTGGGCTTTGACAACATTTTCTTGACTTTCTTTCCACCTTTAGTGGTGGAATTTTCTTTGCTTGCTTCAGAGACCCACTCTGGGGTCTCATTGTCTTTGGTGGGCTTGAAGAGAGGGGTTTTATGGACATTTAGTACCCTGTTTTTTAGGAGAGATCCTCCAGCCTTAAATGTGGATATGGTGAAGTCAGATGATAGAGACTGGTCAGCCCTCCGCACGCTGATTGACTCTGAGGCTGTAGAGGATCTTTCCAGCTCCATCTCTAAGTCCTTCCTGGAGGAGAAGCGGGCTGCTTCCGAGGTGGCTGGTCTCCCATACATCAGCCCATACATGGACACACCCTGGACACTGTGCTGGCTGTTAGCAAGGAAATTGTCCTGACAGGTCTGCTGCTCGTATATGTGCATTACACTTTCTCTGACTTCCTCCCCCCCATTTTGGATCTGTAAGATCTCAGCCACCCCTGATTTAAAAGTGGATTGAGTCTTATTGTAATTGTTGATATCCATAGAGCCAACTCTCCTTGGTTTAGGGACTGGCCTGCTGCTGCATTGTCTGACCATGCAGTACTCCTCTTTTACCTCTCTATTCTTAGTTGTCTCTCTGTAGGAATATGATCCAACCATGTTCTCCTGAATATCATCTCCTGATGTTGTGTTTATGTTTTCCACTGAGGCCTGCTTCTGTCTGGATCTCCTGGGACATGGGGTAGGAGCCCTCCTGAGAGAGGCCACACCAACATGTATTTTAGCATTATCCTCATCATCTCCTTCCACACTGGTAAGTCCACTGGCCTCTGGAGACATATCATCCTCATCATCATGATCATCCTTTTTAGCATTGTACCCATTGATGGTGCCCATGGCATTGGGTTGTGCCGGTGGTAGGACGTTGGACTCAGGAGAACTGATTTCCAGCTCAGACTCAGCCACACTGAGCTGGTTGGCCACACTGGACCTGGTCAGGGTGGTGGTCCAGTGGATGGTCTCCTCCTCCTTGATGGTCAGTCGTACCTTCATCTCCACCGTCATGCTGCCATCCTGGTTCACCCGAAAGGACTTCTCAATGTCATCATCACCGGGCATACAGTTGTCTGCCCCTTCATTCCCATCTCCATGGTAGGTGTCGGCGTCCGTTTCGGCCACTGACTCCAGAAAATGGCCAGCCTCCAGCTCCACAGATCCTGTATTGTTACTGGGGAGGTCACACTGACTTCCTGCAATGGAGTGGTGTATCTGATTTACAAAGTATCTCTCTGACGATGAGGAGAAAAGCCGTGATTTGCTGCTGGATACAGACTTATTTTTCCCTTTGGAGAGGATCAAAGGAGAGAGTGTGAAGAATGATGGATGGAATGTTTTTGGAGGCAAGGATGTTTCAGCAGGTCAGCAAATCCCAGAAGCAAGAAGAAAAAGAGAACAAAAACATTAGTCAGGAAAACCAGATCCACTGTCCACACAGTTCATACTGCATAATGACTGGCCGCATATGAAGAGAGTAGGTCTATGTAGGTCATCCATGGTATTATGGATGATACTAACATCTCAGCACTTTCCTACTGCTTATCCCGTACAGGTACGTAGACAGGGAGGGGATAGATTACTGCTAGACAGACAGTAGCACTGTAGATGTGACATACATTCATGTCTAACAATACATTTTCAATATTCTCAAAGTAATGCGAAACATGGCAGTTAAAAGGGATATGCTGTCCAAACTATATTTAAAACATCAAGCCAAAAACATTCTACAAAAACATACAAAATGTTGAGTGAACATAGCTAATTAGACTTACAGGGTGCTGGTTGCTTTAGTCTTTTAGATGCCATTCGTCTGGCAGGCAGCCATGTTGGAGCAGAAGATTTCTGTGACTTGTAGTTTCCAGACTTAAAGGCCTCCCGACCGGCAGCTACTACAATCCCAGAGCATAGAATCAGAGCAGGGAGCCCATCCACCTGCAGACAGACAAATTTAATATTTTTATTTGTAATCTGATAATAGTGGAATTAGATTTTGATGTGAAAAACGGCATCTATTAATTATTAAAATAGCTCACTTTTAAAATCATGACTTAAGGCTAACACTGTATTTATCCTAAATATTTGTACCAAATATGTACCTAAATCATGTATGTACCTAAATCATGTACAATTTGCAAAATATAGAAGTAAAAGAGTTTATATGATAAATTGAATTGATAAAATGAATTGAATTGATAAATTGATAATTCAATAAATATTGGACACCAAGGCTAAATCAATCTCATGACACATCAGAAAAAGGTGAACTTCCTGAGGTCCCTACTCCCTAGAAACAGTATCCCAGAATGCCTTCTCAGTTAATAGGCTATATGAATTAAGGAGCTTAGGACTTTCTCTTTTTCTGACTGTTATTTATGGAGCCTGTTCTGAGTCCAACTATTATGTGTCAGTCAGGCAACATGCTGCCAATAAGTTGAGGCTGGGTCACCTCCAGTCATGAGGTGAGGGCATCACAGGATAATACCAATGTTGTGTGAGGTAAGAGTTGAGTGCCTGAACCTCTAAAGGGGAGGCACACGTGTTTGGTTACAGTATCAGCTGTGGTGTCCTGCTCTAAATGGATCTTGAGATGGAACATATGAAAGAAGTGGTACTAAACAATAACAAGCAAATCTGAATTATTATGATTATCATTAACTGTAGTGTGTCCATAGGCATGGGGAGAGCACTTACCCTTCTTCCATCTGGTGTGTGTAGTTTGACCACAGGAAAGTGCATCAACTCGGACACGTAATCCAGCAGCGCCTCAAAGGTGGGAGTGGTCCTCTTCTGTAGCATTATATTGTGTTTGACACTTGGGTCCCCATTCCGGAACACCATTAGCCTCTTAGGTGTGCGCACAATCACAGGGATATTTTTGTGCATGGGCCTGCCAGGGTTCTGTTTGGCCAGCTGCAAGGCCCGACGCCGGGCGCTCATGGGCCTGGCATGGTACCACGGTGGCAGCTTCTTACTGGCTGCTGCCATGTTGATGGGTTTGACCTTCCGCTGGTCTGAGCAGATGTAGGCCTTCCCATCCTCCAGTTCATCTAGTGTGTGCACCGCATGGACCCCCCGCGGGGTGGTGATGTTCCTCACTCCGAACGGCAGCGGGACCTTCTTGGAGAGGCTGTCCAGAAGGGCATCGAAGGTCTTAAAGGTGCGGTTGTTGATGACCATGCGCAGGCCACTGAACTGAGGGTCACCGCTCTTGTAGAAGCAGACGTGCTTGGAGGCGATGGGGTCTGTGATATAGGGGTGACGTGACGTGGTCACTGTGTGCCCACTCCCTGAGGACTGGTCCTGGGGGGGCCTTCTTGGCCCCACTTCACTCATTTTGTCTGGTTAATAGGCTGTGGAGAGAAAGAGGAGATTAATGATATTTAGTTATTTAATTAGAAGAAATCATGATAAACAGTAGGTAGATTATTATGGGATTGGATGCCTGTTGCAGTATATCAGATGAACTTTCAAGGATTCAAATCAATTATGTACACAAAGTAGTATATTATTTTCTCTTTAGAATAGTTTTGGATTAGCAGGTCGACGCCCATTAAGGTGTCAAAATATAATGAGGAGTTGTGTAAACAAACACATTGGGTAAATATTGCTAGCCAGGTTTGATTGTATCTGACCCTTGTTGACTTCATTCATTATGGCTGCAGAATCACATGTCACTAATTAGTAGGGCAGGCTATTATCTATAGTATATCATTCTGACAAATTAAGGCAATTGTGATAGTGCTGTTTAAACAATTCAGCAAAATTATCAGAAACATAACATTCTTCTTAATAACTCTTAAATGTAACTAAATGTAATCGAAAATGTAATATACGTACAGTAATCCCCAAAAGTCATTATTTATTATGAGAGGGCCATAAACAACAACTAGTAATGCTGCATACTCCAAGAAAAGTTCAAATCTCACCTTTCTGGTAAAAATAATTATAAATTGCTGAGGTTTAGTCACTTTTGAGGACACAAGCTGAAGTACAAATATGATAAATATATGCAAATATTACATATTTTATATGATGTATTTCCTATTCAACAAAACTGGCTTGGAATGAAATATTTTTTCTAAATATAGTATAATACATTTATAAAACGACTAACTATAAGATTTCACCTTCCTTATAACTGTAAAATACATATTTGTAGAGAAAATGTGCATATTTTCTGAAGGTCTCTTGATCAAAACGTCTGCCCCCATCACTGTGAACGACTCACATGGCTCTAGCTTCCTGAACTCCTTAGTAACTCGCCTTTGATCTCATATTAATATTGTCTGTCTATGACAAACAGAAAGTGTTTTCTGTTTAAAATCTATGAATTATTTACTGGCTATAAATCGATCTCTGAATGTGTTACAGCAACGAAACCACTCTCTCCTGCTGCGTTATGATGTAAGGATGTTGTTAGTGGTTGTGACGTAGGGTTCAGCCAGGAGTGGATGAACAGTCAGAAGAGAGAATGAAATGGTAGGAGGGACATCCCAGCTTCAAGTGGTGTCAGATTTCAAATCCTGCTTCACACAGGCAGAAGATACATACTCCTGTGTCCATCAGAATCAGAGCTACCGCTCAATGCAAGACATTTCAATCTATGGTGTCCACATATCGATTAATAAGCAAAAATGTCGGTCGGAACCAGTACCAGAACCACACAGGTCCCCAAAACAGGGGACTTTACATCTAAGACGTTTTAAAGTGCTGTGAAAACATTATCAAAATGAGTAATAAATTATACAGGTGTGGGGAAATGCAACAATTGTCTTTCCTTACGTTGGATTGATGTCGGGGGATTGTGGAGGCCAGGTCATCCGATGCGGCACTCCATCACTCTCCTTCTTGGTCAAATAGCCCTTACACAGCCTGGAGGTGTGTCGGGTCATTGTCCTGTTGAAAAACAAATGATTGTCCCACTAAGCCTAAACCAGATGGGATGGCGTATCGCTGCAGAATGCTGTGGTAGCCATGCTGGTTAAGTGTGCCTTGAATTCTAAATAAATCACAGACAGTGTCACCAGCTAAGCACCCCCACACCATCACACCTCCTCCTCCATGCTTCACGGTGGGAAATACACATGCGGAGATCCGTTCACCTACACTGCGTCTCACAAAGATACAGCGGTTGGAACCAAAAATCTCAAATTTGGACTCCAGACCAAAGGAAAGATTTCCACTGGTCTAATGTCCATTGCTTGTGTTTCTTGGCCCAAGCAAGTCTCTTCTTCTTATTGGTGTCCTTTAGTAGTGGTTTCTTTGCAGCAATTCGACCATGAAGGCCTGATTCATGCAGTCTCCTCTGAGCAGTTGATGTTGAGATGTGTCTGTTACTTGAACTCTGTGAATCACTTATTTGGGCTGCAATTTCTAAGGCTGGTAACGGTAATGGCCAAACAGACCCCCCCCCCCCCCCCCCCCCCCCCCCCCAGAGTGGGTCTCTGGTCAGTATATAGGATCTTTACCAAAGGAGTAGTGAACACATGATGATTATGATTACAGACTTATCACAAGAGACAGGTCCTATTAGCAATGCTCATTATGCATAAAGGACATCAACAAAATCACATTTTCCTCATTAGGCCTAATTGTTTATTGGTCCAATTAAAAAGGTAGCAGATTGAGTGACGTCTTGAGGGCATATGTTGTTTACTTCAAGGGACATGGTGCCATCAGGCTTAACAGACTACTGAGAAGTGGGAACCTTGCATGCCTGACATTTTCAATTACTTAATTACCCATGTATAGGCTATTGCTGAGTACAACAAACTACAACAATAAATGAAACAACATCGTAATTCATTATATACCATTCTTAGCTATTTCAGGCTATTGGGTAATATTAAAGTAGTTGAAAATAGTTGAGTCTCTTTGATCTAGTTTCTGATTAGGAATTTGTACAAGTAAACATTTGTGCCCATAGTGTAACTATTTATCACATACAGTGAGGGCTGATTCTGTACGTTTGCCCACTGACAAAGAAATGATCAGTCTATAATTTTAATGGTAGGTTTATTTGAACAGTGAGAGACAGAATAACAACAAAATAATGTTATAAATTAATTTGCATTTTAATGAGGGAAATAAGTATTTGACCCCTCTGCAAAACATGACTTATTACTTGGTGGCAAAACCCTTGTTGGCAATCACAGAGGTCAGACGTTTCTTGTAGTTGGCCACCAGGTTTGCACACATCTCAGGAGGGATTTTGTCCCACTCCTCTTTGCAAATCTTCTCCAAGTCATTAAGGTTTCGAGGCTGACGTTTGGCAACTCGAACCTTCAGCTCCCTCCACAGATTTTCTATGGGATTAAGGTCTGGAGACTGGCTAGGACACTCCAGGACCTTAATGTGCTTCTTCTTGAGCCACTCCTTTGTTGCCTTGGCCGTGTGTTTTGGGTCATTGTCATGCTGGAATACCCATCCACGACCCATTTTCAATGCCCTGGCTGAGGGAAGGAGGTTCTCACCCAAGATTTGACGGTACATGGCCCTGTCCATCGTCCCTTTGATGCGGTGAAGTTGTCCTGTCCCCTTAGCAGAAAAACACCCCCAAAGCATAATATTTCCACCTCCATGTTTGACGGTGGGGATGGTGTTCTTGGGGTCATAGGCAGCATTCCTCCTCCTCCAAACACGACGAGTTGAGTTGATGCCAAAGAGCTCCATTTTGGTTTCATCTGACCACAACACTGACCACAAGCCTTCATGGTCACCCAGTTCTCCTCTGAATCATTCAGATGTTCATTGGCAAACTTCAGACGGGCATGTATATGTGCTTTCTTGAGCAGGGGGACCTTGGAGGCGCTGCAGGATTTCAGTCGTTCACGAAGTAGTGTGTTAAAAATTGTTTTCTTGGTGACTATGGTCCCAGCTGCCTTGAGATCATTGACAAGATCCTCCCGTGTAGTTCTGGGCTGATTCCTCACCATTCTCATGATCATTGCAACTCCACGAGGTGAGATCTTGCATGGAGCCCCAGGCCGAGGGAGATTGACAGTTCTTTTGTGTATCTTCCATTTGCAAATAATCGCACCAACTGTTGTCATCTTCTCACCAAGCTGCTTGGCGATGGTCTTGTAGCCCATTCCAGCCTTGTTTAGGTCTACAATCTTGTCCCTGACATCCTTGGAGAGCTCTTTGGTCTTGGCCATGGTGGAGAGTTTGGAATCTGATTGATTGATTGCTTCTGTGGACAGGTGTCTTTTATACAGGTAACAAACTGAGATTAGGAGTACTCCCTTTAAGAGTATGCTCCTAATCTCAGCTCGTTACCTGTATAAAAGACACCTGGGAGCCAGAAATCTTTCTGATTGAGAGGGGGTCAAATACTTATTTCCCTCATTAAAATGCAAATCAATTTATAACATTTTTGATTAAAATTATAGACTGATCATTTCTTTGTCAGTGGGCAAACGTACAAAATCAGCAGGGGATCAAATACTTTTTTCCCTCACTGTAGGCCCTTTCATTTCCATCACAATTTTTTTTTGTAAAGTAACATTAACTTCACTGTTATATGGTAAAAATATATACCGTTATCTATATTTTACCTACAAGGTTATCTATGTGTTACCTACAAAGTAGCTAGGCTAAACGTAGATGAACCTGAACAGAGGTATGTGCGACAACTCAACTCCTCTCATTGACAATAAAACTAATACAGAACGATATGAACATTTCATTAACATAAGAAGATTGTGTAAACTCACCTAATATCCCATGATAAAAATGCCAGTTGGTGTATCCACAAAAGTATTGACAAAATGTTGTCCCATGCTCTGCATTATGGCTACTGTTGGCCAGCTTTGTGCTGGGAGCTAAGGGTTATTTCGGGAGGCAACATCATGGTTAATTTGCTTAATCTTTGCTCAAAGATAATCTCCCCTACAACAGTGTTGTGTGTGAAGAGAGTGAATGTGTGTGATAGGCCTATACACTGCCCAGATCAAATAATATAATTAATTCAGCTGTCATTCATTGTTTCTAGAAAGTAATTTGAGAGATTACCACCTGAGGAGATAACGTACTGTACCTTTTTTCAGCTTTAATATTGCAGATAGATTGTAGCTTCCATCAATGTAATTGTCTGCATCATTTCCAATCACCCATATATGTTTTTGTAAATATATATATATATTCGGTACCGGTCAAAAGTCTGGACACACCTACTCATTCCAGGGTTTTTCGTAATTTATTACTATTTTCTGCATTGTAGAATAATAGTGAAGACATCAAAACTATGAAATAGCACATATGGAATCATGTAGTAACCCAAAAAGTGTTAAACAAATCAAAATATATTTTATATTTGAGATTCTTCAAATAGC